TATATAAATTTATCACAAAAGTTTAATAAAAAATATTATTATTTCAACACTAATCAATTTTGATTAAAATTAATCAAAGCTAATTAAAATTAATCAGGCCCAAACTAAGCTCAAGTTTTACTGAGCTTCACATGTTTTATAATGTAAAACTTTATTTTCTTAAATATTTTTTATCGATGTGGGATATATTTATAGTGTAAAACCTTATCTTTTATGTGTTTTTTTACTGATGTGGGATGCATTGATTAGAGAAAACTTAAATAAGACTGAATTGTAGTGATGATTTCATCATCAAGTATGTATTCTTTTTGTGACAATTTTTTGTGACGTAATATATTGTTAGTGATGAATTATTTGGTCATCATTGAATGTGTAAGATATATGTGATTAATATTTGAAATTTGTCTTACTTAGGATAAGTTATAATGATGATTTTTATTGTCACCAACTTATTTTTTATGTGTGATTATTTTTTAGTGAGGAAATATCTTTTTAATGATGAATTTTTTTATCATTATTGAATATACTTGCGTTTGTGATTAATTTTTAAATTCTGTCACAAATATAATAAATTATAGTATTAATTTCAACATTTGTTATAATTTTTTGTCACTAAAAATCCCATTTCTTGTAGTGGCATGAATGAAAAAGAATTATAAAAATGAAGGAGTTATTTGATGTCGTATGGTTCATATTTAATGTAATATTATTTCAAAGGTGTAAGGATAGGTTCGAGATCCTTAATCTTGGATGTACTGCTACAATGCTTTAATAACCAAAGTAAAGTTAAATTCAACATTTCCCGATCAAATGGCTACATGATAAATACAGTGGATATGCTCACACCTGATTTGTCACACACAATTTCCCGGTCTCGAAATTACCGCCTGAAGAGACACGTCACACTGTGATTATCCTGTTAAGCAAGCCACATGGACATCTCACGAAAACCTATAAATACCCCCCAGGAGCAACTTCAAAAAAGTAATTGAAACTAACCTAAAGCTTATTTTTCATTAGTCTAGAGGTAGATCCGATTATTGCTAACTTAAGTATCAGAGTGTCTACCATGAGGACCCACCTCACTACCAAAAAATCCACATTTAGTGACTAAATTATTGATCATTAAATCTTTATTTTTCGTTACAAATTATTAGTAGTGATAAAATTTAAATCGTTAGTAAAACCCTTGTCACTAATGCTCTTAGTGACAAATTAGACACCTGTAATAGAAAATAACTTTATAGTGATAAAAAAATTAACATTATTAACAAGTTATTCATAACAATTTTATTCGTCACAAAAAAAAATATTCGTCACAAATGCAATTATGGTGCAAAATTTAATCATTAATTATTAAAATTGATATTAAATAAAAAAGAT